ACACTATGGGTACCTGCCAGCCCACGCCGCTCTCGCAGCGCTGCATCACAGGACTGCAGCTGACAGCCCTCTTGCAAAAAAGGTGACGTTCTTGTCCTGGATCTTATACTGGTAGATCTGGACGAGATCCTGCTCCGCCGTCAGCTCCAAGGACACTCTCTTAATTATTTTAATCTGCAAAGGGAAAGGAACAGCAATATCATCCCTTTGGCTGCCCCAGGCACAGCATCCTCATCCCACACCTCTTGCTGGTCTGCAGGGAAGGGGATCACTGGCAGAAAAACCATCACAGAGCTGCCTCTAACCAGCCCCCTGGGTGGCAGCCCCTGATGGGTGACCACGCAGCAACCAGGCCACCCAGCTGCCCTCCCAGCCCAGAAGAGACCACTGCAGCCAGGCTGAGGTCTATCGACAGGACATTTTGAGGAAGCTTCCCAGGAACTGGATATTTTTCTTTGCCATCACCTTGGTGCAGGGGACAGCGGGCACCGCAGCTGCTGTATAAACCCTTGCCAGCTTCCAGGGCTGGCAGCAGGATGTCCCTAAAACATTCCTGCAGAATCAGAGTCACAGCCAGGTGCTCCAGCAGATCCTGGTGCCCGCAGCAAGGCTGCTCGTTAGTCCTTAACCACGCTGCAGACCAGGCTGGTCCTCGGCCGTCTGGCACGGGGCAGCTGGAGCATGTCTCACCTCCCCGTGGGCCTCTGGGCAGTGTTATGTGTGACATTAACGTCTGCCACCCCTCCATGCTCTCCCCTGCATCACCTGCCCGTGAACATCCTTGCAGAAGCCGGTCGCCAGCCCCTCCACCCACAGGATCAGGTCACTGTGATGACACAGGGAGGTGACAACCAGTTCGTTTTCCTCGTCTTCCGAATCCTCGTTGCTGTGAACCAGCACCACGATGTTCCCCTGGAATGAGACCAGGCAGTGATGAGCTCCCAGCGGATTCCTAATCCACTCCGGGTACGGAAGGGGAGATAAGAATGGGAGCTTGCACAAATGCCCTGCTAACTAAGCTACTTAGACATCCCCCAGCACAGCAGCTGGTTCTCAGCTAAGGTCTACTGGGGAAATAAACAGCAGATACCAGTGCTATTTAACATCTTTGTCAGTGACATGGACAGTGGGATCAAGGGCACCCTCAGCAAGTTTGTGACAACACCAACTGTGTGGTGTGGTGGGCACGCTGGAGGGAAAGGATGGCATCCAGAGGGACCTGGACAGGCGGCAGAGGTG